CTCGAGCAGGAGCGATAGGAAGAGAGACACTTTCAAGAAGAAGACAGACAGAGAGGGAACAGACCCCTTCAAGAACGAGAAGATATTAGACAACTAAGAGCTCAAGTACGAAGCCTAGGAACCAATCCAGGGGTACATTAGCAAGATATGAGCCATCCAGTACCAACAGGTACCGCGAAGGTAAAATTTGAAAAATTTGATGGAAAACTTCCATTCGCAGTGGTGACTCAAGTTTATGACATTCATAATTTACAAAGACTTTAAGAGAACATGGCCATCCATACCCTGCCTTTTTTTTCTGACTGCAGCAGCCGAGTGTTGTTTTTATTTTCATTAGATGAAACCTTACAGATGTCTCTAGCTTCAGTTAGATAAGCCATTTACGGCCGATTTAAGCCATTCTCTCCTCGCAATCTAGAGCTGGTGGATGTAAAACAAAAAGACAGTGAGTGTGTAGAGACCTTCATCCATTGTGTCACCTCCATGACAACAGTGGGCCAAGATTTGCTGATCTCAGTGATCATGAATCCTTTGAAGCCAGAACTCAGCGCCAATGTAATCAACGTGGACTCTCTGACGTTAGGGCAGCAGAGAAATGTGGCAGCCAGATCTGAAGTAGCTGAGCGACGCCTGTCGACCACCCCGGCATTACAGGAGTCTACTTATACATGTATTGTACTTCTTCATGCTTTGAGGAAATCAAAGATGACGTCAGAGCCAGCAAGATGTATCACGAACGGAATGCTCCTTACCGATAGTCAACACCTGCTAGACGAGTCAATCACCACAAAGAGGATTCCAGACTCCACAGCAGAGTTTTCAAAAACCACCAACGCCCAGCTACAGTACCGACCAGACACAACCTAACACCAGAGCGAACCCAAAGCGCACCCCGGGTTCGCTTTCTGGGTTCGCTCGGGGTCCGCTACGGGTCCGCTTTCAGAAATTTTGGGTGCGCTCTGGGTTCGCTTCGGGTTCGCTCGGGGTCAGCTCTGGGTCCGCTAGAGCGAACCCGGCGTTCGCTTTCTGGGTTCGCTTTACGCACTCATGCGCGAAGCGGACCCCGCTTTAATCTTGCCGCCAGTAAGCTCCGCCCTTGTTTATTCCAAATACAGCAGTGAAATCGATCATTGTTGTTTTTGTGGCGATCGATACAAGTACGTGTGCAGTGGCTGCAATGTTATTGTTGACAACATACACGAACGATCACGTTTTACACAAAATGGTTAAAAATATTTAGGAGTGGATATTTAAAAAAAAACAACAAAAAACTTATTTATAGATATTTTAGATTAAAAATATTTACTGCTGCAATTAATCGACTTGGATAACTGAAAAAAAAATTATAGAAAAAAATATTTTTGAAACTACATGTAAATAAGATTTAATAGGTATTTTAGATTACAAATAATCATTAATGTAATTCTCCGACTTAGAATTTTTTTTATCTTTTTCATACGTAAAAATGTAATTTATGATCGAATGCAGCATGTTCTATCATATGATATAGGTTGACTGTGAGTTTTGATTCTATTGGATTTTATAATATGCAGTATGGGGGTAATTTTTTTTTTTTTAAAGTGGCCTAAATAATGAATGAATACTTATATTCATCTTTCCATTTATGAATTCAAAAATCAGCATTTTTTTTTAAAATTCATTCATCTACAGAAATTGAAATAATAATAAGTATCAGGGATAAAAAGTAACCCCGACAATCATGTCGTGTACATTTGTCGACTAATTATTTATGTAAGTATTGGGAATTAATAATTTTTTGTAAAAATGTACATTTCTGATGTATTGGTATAAAAATATCATGACCACAATAAGCAGTTAACGGGACCCATCATCAGAGAAAAAAAATCGTTAAACATCTTAAATACGCTTTATCATTTAAAGTTACGCTATTTATAAGAATACAATACTGTACGACTTATTATATTGCTTATTTACTACCGATAATTAGTTCGTTCAATAATGTACATGTAAATCGCGCGTTGTTTTTTTTTTTCTTTTTATTTCAGTTAATAATAATTAAAAAAAACAACAAGGTAAATCAAGCTTTACATTATTTTTTTTGTAAAAGATAAATCAAAATAATCCCATAGTAGTTTACGATTGGACATACTGTACATGTACATTTATGCTGTTTTTTATCTATTTATTTATTTTTTATTATATATTTATTTATTTATTTATTTATTTTTTTTACTTTTTTTCAATAAAGATTAATAATTTTGATGTTTATCTGGATTTAAACAAAAATGTAAATTAGAATTATAAAAATAAAATAATTGAATGAAAGCACGTACATATACATACTCTTGTGCAGTATCTTGAGATAATGAAATGTTATAATTTGTCAAAATACTTTTTTTTTTAAGTAACAATTGTGATAACCATTTTTTTTTTTTATACATTAAAGAACTTTTTGTCTGATAAATTTACGCAATATAGATAAATGGATTTTAAAATTAAAAAATAAAGAAAATTAATGTGTGAATATAACATGCTACCTAGATATTAATTTATAAATATAAATATTTTTTAATCGTGTTAATAATAATTTCATACTGTACATAAACACGCTTTGCTTGTAGAATGTTTTATTTACATCGAATGACAAACTGGCATGCTGATCGGTCGACGCGCTGATTGGTTAACACGTCTTATCGCTAATCCTGATTGACAGATCAGTTACGCAACACCGAACGCGCGTTCGCTTTCTGGGTTCGCTACTGAATTTGGGGTTCGCTTTCGGCGTTCGCTCTGGGTCCGCTGCGGGTTCGCTCGGGGTCCGCTATAGCGAACCCCAAGCGAACCCAGGCAGCGAACCCAGGGTGCGCTTTGGGTTCACTTTCTGTTAGGTTGTGTCTGGTCGGTACTGTACCAGTCCATTCAGCCTCAGAACAACACAGAACAACAAGCAGCATCAGCAAGGATACAGACCACAGGGGCCATGTAACAACTACAACTCCAAGGGCCAACGGAATAGACTAGGCTACCAGAATCCGCGCTACATCCACAAATGTGAGTTTGCCTTTTCAAAATCCTTTATTGATATATGTCATATTTGTAATCAAGTAGACCATATTTAGAGAGAATGCCCCCAAAGAAAACAACATGAATTCTATACACCATCAATGACTTTTACACTTCAACCTTAGAGGTGCTAGTGCTTTAGTTGATTCGGGGGTTTTGGTATTAATCATTAATAAGGAATTTTTAGGGAAAACTTCTCATGCCCTACATAGGTTATCAGCTCCAGCTTTTCAGTCTTTTTTTAATAAATTAAATTTATTTATTTTTTTTATTCTTCGGTTTATCGTTTTTCTACTGCCTGAACAAAATTAAAATTAAAAAAAATCTTGTAGCGCTCTAAAGAGCGATTGACAACAGCACCTGGTACAATTTAAACATATACATTTCTAAAATGTGTAAATCATTTTCTAAGAAATCAGATAACTGACTCTGTGTATCATCTGTCTGTTTTTACATGAAATGAAGTTTTTTTTCGGAGGTCGCTTGGGGGGGGGGGGGGGGGTTAGGAGGGGGCTTTCCTCTCACACACAAAATTTTTCTGCGTACAGAATATAATTTAAAAAGTGTGAAGACAAAGACCAAACAAATCGAATCTTTGAGGTAACAAGGTAAATCACGGCTATAAGATAAGATTTTTTTTAAAATATATCTTATTATTGTAACTATATCTCTGAAGTACACATAATGTACTAATTGTTTCTAAGCAAACAAATTAAAGAATGACAATATTGAAAGTGACAACCCGTGTTCTGAGAGCATATTTATGGGGTTTATGCTGAATATATTTTATGTTGAACATATCCTTTCTAAAATTCGTAAGCCATACTGGTACCACTGCATATATTGAGACAGTGAGTCTTAGGACTGATATATCCTTTCCACTACCATATCGTAAAAATGCTTAATGGCCAAAAATAGAGATTCTGTCCACCTGTGCTGAGCCCCAGGGGAGGCTTTCATAATATATTTGGAATGGACCATGAGAGGAAGTTGCATTCCATCAGTTGTTAAAATCACAAAGTTCTGTCTGTATTCTGTCTTTATAGATCCTGAGATGGGCAACGGGCATAGGGGGCTACATGAAATCATTTTTCCGGATTTCCATAGCCTTCAAACTTTGGCTGGTTTAGGTTCCGCTTAATAGGCAGGTACACAATCTAGGCGTCATAAGAAAGGGAAAACTCAATATAAAAGGTGACAGAGAAAAAGGTAGGAGAAAAGAAGAGAAACACAGCCCCATAAAAGCAAAAAAAAAGAAAAAAAAAAAAGAGAAGTTTTTCGAGCATACTTTAAAATTTTCTTAGCCCTTAGCCTGACCCCTGCGCCGTGACCCTTAGGCACTATAGGATCGATGTCGATCTTAACTCTGTAGCACAATAAACATAAGTTTTCTAAATGTGGATAATTTATCGATTCAGTGATTTATATTATAATTTTTTCATGATTTTTTCTCGGACCACCGCCCTTCGGATGAACATTCTTAAAATACTCCGGCCCGTCGAAAGGATCTGTAAATTTTTGTAAACTTTTGGTAATCGTCATGATTTTTTTTTTTGTATTCAGCAGGAAACTCTCAATTTAACATATATCTGACTCCAGATCGCCCGGTTTGATCAATTTTTATTGTTCGCCACATGCAATTTCCTTTAAGAGTTATTTTAAATAGAGCCTCAATGATTTGAGCTATATTTTTAAGCCATACTTATATAAAATCGTTTATGGGTCAAAAACACTCATTTTTCCTTATAAAAATACCGGTTGACTTTCACATACTTATCTATATACCCCGACTCTTATTGGTATTCCTACGAATTTAAGTCATCTATAAATCATATATATTTAATTTGAGGATCTTTAATACTAATAAAAACCTATAGTTATTGGTGTGTGAGAAGAACTGGCATTAGTCAAGTCACAAATGTATCGCTTTCTTTACGTAATTAAAAAAAGAAAGATGAAATGTATAAGAATTTATTTCATATATTTCATCAATTTTATACCTCTATAAACGACTTTCTAATTTAAAAAAATGCAATATTGCAATGATTTTTCTGTAAATCATAAATTAATTTATACTAGAAAGAGAAAATTGTCTATTAAATTCATGATACCAATTTAAGAGGACATCCATGTAACACACAAATAATGACAAAGTATTCAAGAATGTATATCAATCTAGATAATCTGATGTTAACATGAAGAACACATACTATATTCATTGCTGTATAATCATTATAATTTTGCAATTTATTATTTTGTGATATTCATTGAATTGCAACGTATATGTCGTCTCAAACACTGGACTTGCAACAATTCCAACCTCCACAGATAGCCGCTGCAATAGGATCATTGTACTCGTGCGATTGACACTCTTCTCTACACCATCCATCGTTGAACCAGTTTCCACAATTGTGATTTCGTTTATCTGCGGGGAAAAATCCAAGCGCATGAGAACAAAAAGTATCTGAAGTTTATTTTTTGAAATGAAGGCAAGTAATTGTAAGCCTTAAATCATTCTTGATACTTAAAGCTATATATGGCGTATCTGAGCTTAAAATTAAAAAAAAAGAGATTGAGTGTAGATAAACATGATATATGTTATTTACGTTGAAATTAAAATTTTCACCGATTTTGAACTTGAATAACCTCATATTTCTATAGTTTTATTGACTTTAAATGGGGCTGTTATTTAAATGCGGAGTCGGTAAATAAATCGGTTATTGTTTTAAGTTTCTAATATCTTTGAAACGTACATGTAATTGATTCAAATTGAGTAATTTACAGGAAGGTCCTATCTTTATATAAAGTAATAAAACAAATAGAAAAATCTTTTTAATTTTAGTTAGTCTGAAATTATCCAAAAATACGTTACATATGACTTTAACATGATGTTAGGTTTTATGCATATTTGTTGAGTAAAAAATCATAAATCAAACTGAGTTTTAAAAAATACATTTGTGACCAAATAAATAGAATAAAATTGTAATAAATAATATTTTTGAAGATTTGACCTTGATACTTTTTGGGCCTTTAAAAAACACTATTTAAATAATTATTTTTTAAACCTTCCAATAAAAATGTGTTATCAATGTACATGTCTTTACATTGAAAGTTTCGTGATACACTGTAGCTTTTGAAATTCTAGATGCTAATTATAAACTTAGGTATTTCTACATACGAAAATCGTCAGAAAATAGACATATTAATAAAAACCAGTAGTGACCAATCAAAATACTGTGAGAGTGTTTTTTTTTTCGAATCACATAGGATGGCAAAAACACAAGAAAATGAAGAATAAAAAAACCTGGTGAAACCATCCATGAAAGTCAACAAACAGATAGAGCCATCAGAGGCACAATTGTTGTATGTCTTGTGTATTTAAATGGGGAAAAATGCAAACATTTGAATCAGTATGTCTTTCACGGCTGCGTTGCATCTTGACATTTTGTCGTTGTAATTTTAAATTAATTCAAAATAACCATTTGACAAGAAGATGTTGTAATTACTGCCAGCCTGTACGTTAAATCTTACAAAATGACAATTATTTGCCCTCGTTGTTGCCAGCTGCAGAATACTTGTATTGTGCGAAAAATACATAGGGTCATTTTTTTTCAATAAAAAGTGGTCTTAAGCCGTCGAATTTGAACTAATAGTTTAAAAATGATTTTTTTTTCTTTCTAATATTCATGTTTAGGTAGAAAGGGATATCGATTCTAAATGTTTTGTAACCTTATGTAGATGTTAGATAACTGTGAATATGTTATTAACACGTGGCCTAGAACAATTAAAAAATTAAGGTAAAAAATACAAGATTTCAGGTTATTTTTTTACTGTTATTATATGGAAAAAAAAATTAGATGTATACATTGAAATTCTTTGAAGTTTTAAAATTGTTCTTGAAAATTCATTGATTGTAAATTCATTGATAGTAACTTATTTGAGCATTGTTTTTCTTTTAAAAAAATCCAAAAAGAGTGAATACATGAAAGTGAGCGCAGATTCTTTTTTTATTTAAAGCGCGTTTCAACGATGTTTCGTAAAAAATACAAAAAATAATAAGAACATTTAAAACATGCTTTCTTCTCCAAACCATCAAAAATATCATCCTGCTTACATCACATTTTAAATCTTGTCAACTTCAGTTATAAATAAAAATGTCATATTTAAAAAAATGACTTTTTTCTTGAAGACGTTGCGCACGGTGTTGGTACTATAATATCTGACACTTTATATGTGGCAAAGAAGCTGGCGTTTTCAAGATGATATATCGGAATTTGATTCTAGACCAACCCGTATTTATATCCCGATAGATGTTTTAAAATGATGCCCATTACTTATATTTACATTTGTGACTTATTCATATTTTATATTTGCCTGACTATAATCTTTAACGCGTGAAATGTTTTATTTCTCAAACTCAACGGCACGAGTTTGAGCTATTGATTGCGCCTCAACCCTTTATGACGTCACTAAGAAATTACGTCGAACATTTATGACATGAGGAACCCGTGTTTATTTAAGAAATGAATTTAATTTTTGAAGATTCATGAGGACATGAACTACGACGCTTCACGCCGGCATATTTCATGAAGCGCATTAGCGCTTCATGATAAATATGCCGGCGTGAAGCGTTGTAGTTCATGTACCTCATGAATCTTCAAAAATCAAATTCATTTCTTATATTTACATTATTTTTCTGATGAGTTACCACAAATTTCACCATTCAACTGTCATTTTTAAAGCAAAACAGTTTGCACTATAGTTTTGACGTCAAGTACGGTATTATGACGTAACAATGGAGATATTCATGCTCATCCATGGTAGTTCATGAGAAAATGAACAGCATTCTAATTTGCAAAGAATCTTAAGAAAAAATATTTGGAAATGTAAATATACGGATATGGATACGCGTTCTTTTCAATAGTGTTATATAAAAGAAAACATTTGCAAATATAAATATTAGAAATTAGAATTGAATTAATGATATTATCCATGGTAATAAATTATTCTAAAAATTTTCTTTTTAATAGCTATTCTCTGTACATTATTGTAACCACTTAAACTTCTTTGCTACGCAAGGTCACCGATTTTAATGAAACTTAGCCCATTATTACAACTTGACACCAGAAACATATATCAAATAAAATTTGGTTGCTATGTGTCTTGGTTGCCATGGTAAAAGCCGAAAAGTTTGAAAAAAATGATAATTTCAGCTACTTTGAATCTTTATTAACCCTTAATAAAGACTAAGAAAAAAAAACCAAACCATTCTCACAAAAATATGACACCTTGCTGCCACTTATGCTATAAAGAAACTATTTAAAATATATCTCTAAGTAAGTGGTAACCACGGGTACATCTGGAATACATTTTAAATACTGAAAAATTCTGAAAAACGCCAAATATGCACTAATGATAGGTGTTACATGATCAAACTCAATCAACAACTTAAGAAAAACCATAAAGATATTTGACCTTAAGTAATTAGGTACTAGCAATATTATTCTAAAAACTTTAATGGTTGCCATGGTAACACAGTGTAACCAGGCAAAATCTGTTGCTAAGATTGGTTAATGCTACTATCTTGAGAGAAGAAAATGGTTACAATGCAAAGTAGCATTTAATCCTAATTTTTCTTACGTCATTGTTGCAAGATCCTAAGGATGTCTATTTACCAGTTTTGAATTTTCATTTTAACCATGGAAACAAGCTACCGGTGGTTTAAAGTGATATTTCTTTAATGCTTTAGGAATTTATTTACCTTTTAATCGAGAATCATATTATTTGACTCACCTTGAATAGTACTTATCAGGTAGAACTAAAGTTGAAAATCGTATGTTGATAAAATTTGATGAAGAAAACAACACTGTTGCTATGGTTACCAAGAAGGGAAAATGTTAGATTTTGTTAACTTTATATCAATATGAAACCTTATGTGCCAGTTTCTTGCAACCTGTAAAAGATTCGGTGGTAATCAAAACTGAGAGTCAGGTTAGTTGTTCATAAACATCAATTAAAAAACATTTGGGATTCTACATACAAGGGTACGTATCCGAGGAAACAAAATATTTATCAGATTTTTATGCATATTTTTTTCCTGCTAATGTCCATAGCAACGCTCTATTTGAAGAATTTTAATTTGAAGTTTTTAGAAATTAGAAAGTTAAGACTACACTAACGCCTTTTAAAATTGATCGCCAGTTACACAGGAAAATTGCAACGTATGTTCGACATATGTTTCGAGTAAGAAATGTTGAACATACGTTGAACATATGTTGACCATATGAATTTTCGACATTATGTTGAAGATATGTTTAAAAAAATATGTTGAAGATATGTTTAAAATATATGTTGAACATATAGCAGACTCAAAACATATATTATATACAACAGAAGATTCAAACATTGAATTTTTATGCCCTTTTTTAAAATATTTATTTTGATATATTAAGTAAAAATAAAATACATGGTCAGCATCTAAAATATGTAATTATAAGCTTAAAACGTTAGAACAACATTATGACTTTAATAACGTTATTTTGACGTAACGTCAATGTGTACCAACACCGTGTGCAACGTTGGACTCTTTCTATAGAAAAACTTTGAAATGGACATTAAGATTTTTGCGGCCGATTTGATACTTTGCTTCATTCCTGATTTGTACGTACCTAAAATAAGATCATCTCTAGTCGTCACTGTAAAAGAGATACAAAATACATAAATAATATATAATTTTAAGTTTTGTTGTATGTGGGTGTATAAACTATAGTAAGACTTAGTTATTAAAATTTGATTTATATTTCAATAGTTTATATGATAGCAAAACTTTTTCATGTTAATTGACAATGATCTGAATTTGTGAAAAAAAAAAAAAAATACATCTTCCAACTGTATGTCGTGCAACTTCTGCGATTCCATAAATTGCTACTAGCGCTAGGAAGAGAGGAGCATTCACAGACATTCCAGCAAAAGACGCCAGAGGTAAGAGGGCTTGGGCCTGACGTTTATTTCTTGACTGCTCTTTCTTTATCCTTGCATTGGCGAAGATGGAACCAGGAGCAACCAATAGGATAACGTACAGGATACACAGGAAGGCTTTCCTTTCCATGATGCTCTCTTTTCAAATAAAATGAAGAAGCTCAAATAAATAATAAAGATAAAATCAAACACAAATGCAGTGCCCTTGTAGTTTTCATAGTTAATCGTGAATCGAGCATCACTTTTCCGTCAAGTCAAAACGATGTAAAAGGCAGAGTGATACCTTGATTGTTAGTATGAAAGCGTGACTTAACGTAATCTTTCGTGTTTATCATTTTTGAAGATTAAGCACGAATATTGTTTCAATTTCAAAAGAAATCTTATAACGTTATCTTTTGTTTCCCAGTAATTAGAAAAACAGTCCAATTTTAAAAGAATGGATTTTTTCCGACAGAATGGACAAATGTCTTTTTATACTAAATGGATATATACAGTCAATGGGCAAAAGTATTCGTCATTTTACGCATATCTCGGCTATTTTTCACTCGCGCTATTTATAGAACGAAGGAAACAAGAGGCCCAATGGTCACATCGCTCATCTGAGCACTATGGCTACGAAAAAAAAAGAAAAATCAGTTCAATATTGAAAAGCTTACAGGCATAATTAAGTGGTCCCGACCTACCCCTAAAGGGTGGAGGGGGGTATGATTTGAACAAAATTGAATCTACGCTAACTAAAGATGCTTACAAATTTCCTTGACTAACCGTGGCTTCTTTTCCTACAAGTTTAACCTTTCATTGTGGCCCCAACCTACCCCTAGGGATCATGAATTGAACAAACTTGAATCTACAGCACCTGAGGATGCTTCCATATAAATATGACCAATGATGGCTTTGCTGTTCTTGAGAAGAAGATTTTTGAAGATTTTTTCCTATATACTCCTATATTAAACTTTGATCGCCCACTGTGGCCCCACCCTACCCCCGGGGGTCATGATTTGAACAAAATTTGAATCTACACCACCTGAGGATGCTTTCACATAAATATGACCAATCATGGCTTTGTTGTTTTTTAGAAGAAGATTTTTATAGATTTTTCCTATATATTCCTATTTAAAAATTGATCGTCCATTGTGGCCCCATTCTACCCTCAGGGGTCTGCAGCTAGGTTAAGGAAGCCCATGAAATATACGCCTTAATATATTCAGAGAAAATGAATACAATTTTATTTTTTTTTTAACAGCATTAGTTTTGATGAATGTGAATTGTGGTGTTTGCACTTGTATATATCGGGTCTCTGCTGAGTTCGGCCAAAGCGACATCGCTTACATCATCTGTTTGTCACGTGACAGGTTTAAAATTAGAACATATATGTACTACTACAAAGATCGCAAACGTTCAACGATATACAGGTATCTTTCCGCTATAAAATTTATTCCTTTTTGTTTAAGAAAAATTTCTTAACATGAAAAGTGCTGTGAGCAACTTCCTCATGCTCGGGAATTGTGAAAAATTTAGCCGTCTTTCTATAAACTCCAGACATAGATGTAATACGCACTGGAATAATGTTACATTAAAGAATAAATAAACAATGCACAACCAGCTTCCAGCACTTTTCAGAATAGTAGGAACAATAGCTTCACTTCTTTAAAAATTCAGAATTTATAGTGAAGCGCATATCGTTGAACTTTTGATATTTTCGAGGGTCCGGACCCCGCATACTAGCACGTTACTGTTCAAATGTGCTCCCTACGGCTAAATATAAAATCTACACATTATCAATTAGTTTGACAATAAAATGTGGATTAATGTATTTTAGAATATGTATCCATTTTGGTCCAATTAAGCTTGTTTTGTGTTTATTTTTATTTTTACAAGCTACGATAATAGCTTGATCCACGCCTCAAGTACAGAGAAACTGCGTGTCAAAGTAAGAAATGACGTCATCTCAGTAAGTACAGCGAGATCAAGCTGGCTTTTATTCTACATACGCTAAGTGCTATTTTGGCAAGATAATTTGCACATCCATTTATCTTTATAATATTTATGAGAAAAGAAGGTATTTGAGTGTGTTTTAAAAAGGACATATAGTATTTATTCATCGAGATTCATTTGTACTCTTTTAACGTGACGTCATAATAGCTTTCCCGATCCTCTGCATAGGCTGACGTAGATATGGGAGTCCTTAACCTAGCTGCGTCATTATTTGAACAAACTCGAATCTACACTATCTGACGATGATTCCACATGAGTTTCATCTTTCCTGGCCCATTAGTTCTTGAGAAGAAGATTTTCAAAAGATGCCATTAATTTTTCACTATTTTGTAATTATCTCCCCTTGGAAGAAGGCGTGGCCCTTCATTTGAACAAACTTGAATTCCCTTTACCCAAGAATACTCTCTGTCAAGTTTGGTTGAAATTGGCGCAGTGGCTCTGGAGAAGAAGATGAATTGTGAAAAGTTAACGACGGCGCCAACGACAACGACAACGACGACAGACAACGGACAAATTTTGATCAGAAAAGCTCACCTGAGCCTTCGGCTCAGGTGAGCTAATAAAATGAAACTTTCAATAGAGAGACTAGAGAAATTACGTCACGATTTTGTGACGTCGATCTGTCATTTGTGTGTCTGTAAACACTGAAAAAACACCGCTTGAAAACATGAGGCAAAAGTCGGCAGAGTTTAGCACCAACGTAAAGGAAATGAGTTTAAAATCTGCATCATATATACCTTAATTAAATCAGAACTGGCGAGGATGTTGGGTGTATCTATGTCAACAATTGTGGGTATTGTGGATAAATTTAACAGACTGGGAACGGTCGAAAACTTGGCGAGATCTGGTCGTCGACTTTTGTCTACAACTCGGAACAAGACGAAATTTAGCAAACAGAAGAGATACTTTGACTCATTTGACAAACAAATTAAACGAAGGAAGAAGACAATTTAGTGAAAAGAAAGTGTTTAGAAAATTACGTGAAGAAGGGTACAAAACGAAGCGTACAAGAAAAACTATGGTTGTTTGACGTGAGAACAGAAAAAGCGGGTAAAATGGTGTCAAGAACGAAAATATTAGAAGTGTGATCAAGAGTGGAAAAAATACATATTTTCGATGAGAGTCAAATTGTTATCGGGACAGATAATCTTGTATATGTATGGAGAAAGGACGCCGAAGCTAACAGTCCCCACTTGGTTTGTTCTCCATCAAAGTGGAGGATATCACTAATGATCTGGAGATGCATGTGTTTTGATGGTATGGAACTATTGTACCTGTCGAAGTTAATATAAATGCACTCAAATACTTGGAAATAGTTGATAATAATTTATGGTCTGTAATTACCAGACATTTTCCGAACAAAGGTTATGTTTATCAAGACAATAATACCCCGGTATATAGGGTCCTCGTAGTGAAAAACTACATGACAGAATATAATATTAACCCCACAGATTGGTCAGCTCAGCCTCACACTGCTCAACGCGTTATCGGCTATTCGGTTGTTATCGGGCATTCGGTGGATAACAACTTTTGACAGGTTAGTAAATTGTTGCAAATAAACACTGTAAAAAATAGAAACAGAGAATGTTGATTGTGCTTTTTGTGAACAAGAATGAATACAGATACAAAATAAAGCCCCATTATATGTTATCATAGTATTTTTAAGTCTTGAGAAGATTTTAAAGGTCAAATTTGTTATATTTTGTAAGTTTTTGGCCGATTGGCATTGCTGCATATAGCCCCTCTCTTCAAAATCCTTATACTTACATGTACCTCACATTAATTATTGTCCACAATATGACATCGTCAGAATCTCGCAAAGATGTAATTAAAGGGTAAAAATAGCCCTTTTTTAACTTTCAAGATGGCTTCGGAAATGCGGTTGAATGGTTCACTTTGTTATCGGAAATTTCGGTTTTAGTTATCGGAAACAAAGGTTGTCATAGGTTAGGAAAAATCTAAAGAAACAACAGAATTCTTCATTAACTCTAGATATTTAAAGTGGCAAGAACACAATTCTAATTTTTGGATATCATTTGTCAATTTTAGAATATGTAACTTTAAGAAAAGGGGTGTTTTTTGATCATGAATGTTTTGGAATTTCTCATAATCACTGAAATGTGTATGATCTTGACCTGTTCGAAAATATTGTATTAGTTAATTCTCTGAATTATAAATCTCTGTTGTAACAAAAGTACAAATGCCAAATTTATTTATTGAGAGTCTTACGTTGCATTATTCTCAGTATAAAAGCATAGCAATAATTGCTGAATTCACAGGAATTTACTCTTAGATTTCTGTGTGTTTCCTTCCAGTTACGCACTGTTCTTCACTTTTGTCTCCGTTTTCCTTGCTTCGTTTTTATTCCTTGACTTTGCATTTTCGATCTCCCCTTAATCATCGCTGTTCCTTTTTTTAGAACTAAGTACAGACCCTGAAACGTGCTACTACCCCACACGCACGCTGCACGAATGGTACACGCTCGCTACACGGTTTGTACGAAACGCTGCACGGTTTACACGAAACGCTACACGGTTTGCACGAAACGCTACACGGTTTACACGAAACGCTTTGCACGAAAGGCTGCACGGTTTACACGAAAGCCTGCACGAAACGCTTTGTACACGTTTCTCACACGCTTTGTACACGATTCTCGCACGCTTTGGCCTCGATCTGGATTTTCTATTCGGAATCTCTCGGACTTTATTTCAATTATTACGGATTAATCAAAGATTAGTTAGGAACTGAAATCATTCAGATTAAGTTAAGATTAAAACTCGCTACACCAGTACTATATTAACAGATAAAATTAATACATAGTTGTCAGTGAGTATGTGACCCGCCCGGTAAAATACTTATTATCGTCTGTGTACAAAACTTTTTTCACTAGACTCTAAATTACGCACTGAAAAAAATGTCATATTTATAATTCATAATCTTTCACAGCATTTAATGTTTTTCCATTTATAGTTTGATAATAAATAGTCGTTTTATTACTAACAAATAAACTCAGTTATTGATTTGAAAAAAAAAAAAATGATTCAATTGCGTATGAATACTGTAAACGGATTGATTTTCTTTTCCCTTTTTTAATTATTGATTGATTTATACATTTTTTTGATTTAGTAAAAAAAAATTAATTTCATTTGATAAAATTAGGTTCTG